TTAAGCAGCCTGCAAGGGGAGTGGCAATTCAGTAGCAACCCCGATTCTGTAGCCTGCTGTTCTATAACTATTCCTCCAGCCAAAGCCATCCTCCTCCTGCGAGGGAGAGAGGCTCCTAAGAAACAGGAAACTTCCAAGCACAGGAAGCTCAGAAAATCACTGAATCCACAAGGCCCCCTCTACAGCGATACAAGCTGCAAACAGTTGCTAGAGGGGAGAAGACCCCCCCCCCTTCAGTGGAGCCGCCTGCACATCGGATGGGAGCTCTAGGGACGCAGCTTTCCTGAGTCATCAACCCGTACCAGGGTGGGTTTGAGTCACTAATGTTCCTGTAAATGACCTCGAGAAACTCATTGGTTCCCCGGGCTAGATTCAGGTGGAATAATTTCTTTTTGTCTGTCACTAATAAAACAGATGTTTTTTCACCCGTGCCTCCCAAGGAAGAGTCACACAGCAGGGACACAATGGGGCATGGTAGGAACCTTGTCCAGCTTGAAAGCCCAGAAGCCTTATACAATCCCAGGGAAGGCCGGGCGTGTTGACACACACCACTAATCCTAATATTCAGAGGGCTGAGGCAAGAGGATAATGAGTCTGAAGCTAGTTTGGGCTGCAAAGCAAAACTCCATGTGAAAAAGGAGGAGGAGCCGGGGAGGGGGAAAGAGCCCAGCGTTGGTGGCACACGCCTTTAATCCCAGCACTCCGGGAGACAGAGGCAGGCGGATCTCTGTGAGTTCCAGGCCAGCCAGGACTACAACAGAGAAACCCGTCCTGGGGGGAAAAATTATCCTCAGAGAAGCCGGAAATAAGGACTTTGATGAGAAATCATTTGTGTCCCAACCAAATCAAGAACATATTTAAGCATCATCAAGGCCAAAAATAGCCTCCAAACCGCAAGTGCAGGCCCCATACACACCGCTCCCAAACGGGCATCGGCAAACGGAGCAGGGGTCCTCTGTCCTCACAGTTCAGAAAGAAATAGCCGAGTCGGGGCCCACAGGACCCCAAATTAAGATAACAGCAGGAGAGGGACAGAGGGGGGCTCGTGTATGATTTACTGTCTTCATTTGTTCTTCCTGTCATTAAACTACATGACTTTCTCATCCAGGTTCCCCAAATTCTATCAAGTCTGTATCCCAGCCCAGATGATCCCCTCCTCCTAGCTCTCTCAAGTCTCTCACCTCAGCTCTGCCCAATGGAGGAGACCAGCATCTAGATTCCCCAGAACCAAGGCTCTCTCTGCCTATAGTCACATCCCCAGCTTTGCCTGTGACAGGACCGATCACAGAGCAGGGATCCAGGGATGGTTTGGAAGAGTGAATGAGTCGGTGAGTAGATGGATTAAGAACAAGGTCAGCCGGGCAATGGTGGCGCACGCCTTTACTCCCAGCACTCGGGAGGCAGAGGCAGGCGAATCTCTGTGAGTTCGAGGCCAGCCTGGTCTCCAGAGCGAGTGCCAGGATAGACTCCAAAGCTACACAGAGAAACCCTGTCTCAAAAAACCAAAGAAAAAAGAACAAGGTCGGTGCTTAAAGACAGGAGTAAATTAGAGGAGACAGGCCTGCAACCCCAGCTACTCAGTGAAACCCCGTCTCTAAATAAGAAGTTAAGAGGAGAGCCAGATGTGGTGGCCCACACCTTTAATCCCAGCACTCAGGAGGCAGAGGCACACAGATCTCTGAGTTTGAGAGTGAGTTCTGAGACCTCCAGGGCTACACTGAGAAACCCCGTCTCAAAACAAAACAAAAAATTTAAAAAGAAAGAGTATGAGAACTGGTGAAATTGCTTAACAGGAAGCATTTACCTAAAATCTCCCAGTGAAGGGTTGGGCGTGGCTCAGTGGTAAATTACTTGTTTGCCCTGGGTTCGAATCCCCAGTACTTAAAAGTGTGTGGTGGGGGTGCTGGGCATATTAGTGCACTCCTTTAATCACAGCACTCAGGAGGCAAAGGCAGGAGGATCTCTGTAAGTTTGAGGTCTGCCTGGTCTACAGAGAGAGAGTTCCAGGCCAGCCAGGGTTATGAAGTGAGACCCTGTCTCAAAGGCAAAACACAACTAACAAGGCAGCTGCCTGCAAGAGTTTGCTCAGTGCTTAAGAGCAAATACTGCTCTTCCAGAGGATCAGAGTTCGATTCCCAGCACCCACATAGAACAGTTCACAATCTCTCTAACTATAGCTCCAGGGGATCTGACACCCTCTCCTCTGGTCTCCTTGGACACCGCCCTCACGTGCACACACAGACATTAAAATAAAATAAATCTTGTTTTAAAAAGAAAGCCAGGCCAGGCGGTGGTGGCACACACCTTTAATCCCAGCACTCAGGAGGCAGAGGCAGGCGGATCTCTGTGAGTTCAAAGCCAGCCAGGTCTACAAGAGCGAGTTCCAGGACAGTCTTCAAAGCCACAGAGAAACCCTGTCTCGAAAAACAAAACAAAAACCCCAACAACAACAAAAAAAGCAAGCCAGCTGTGGGCTGGAGAGATGGCACTGACTGCTCTTCCAGAGGTCCTGAATTCCCAGTAACCACAAGGTGGCTCACAACCATCTATAATGAGATCTGGTCCCTTCTGGTGTGCAAGCAGAACACTGTCTGTATACATAATAAATAAAAATAAATAACTTTTTAAAAAAGTAAGCCAGTGGCAGGGGCAACAAGACGTGAAACCTGGAAGGATTCTTCAGGGGATGAGCAGAGACCCCCCCTAAGT